ACTCGACTTGCGATCAGAGTCACGGAACGGATTAAGTTCGTAAGTAGAGGTACCACTGTAGTATTTATTAAATTATTTTCATATAATAAATGTTTGGGGGTCAATGAACAATCTGAAACTTCATGAAGGGGTCTATGAGCTGAAGAGTTTGGGGACCCGTGCTTTAGGAGGAGGCAAATGCTTCAAAGAGGCCTCATTTTGCTTATGTTATCATCAAATATTTCAGAAATTCTCAGGATCTGTTAAAAGGGTAGGGGGTACTTCTTACCTTGATAATTTTTCCAGGTTTTTATTGCAGGTCAGCAATCTTAGCAGCAGATGTGTTCTGCCAGAAATGCAGATTCCCATTTGTAAATGTATCCAAGCATGTCTGCACCCAAATTTTCCTGCACATTCAAGGCCTAGAAAAGAAACAGGATTGGGAAAATACTGTATTATTACTGAGGATATTGACTGGTTAAGTTAAGGGCTTTTTTTATTTAAAATGATTGTTTCACAGCAGCCTATCATGAAAGATATAATAATCTCTTTAACGTTATTCACATGATTCTTTCATATTTAGGTATGCACTCAAAGATCTTCAGGAATAGTAGTCACCACATGGTGGTGGCACATGTTCCGCCAGACCCAGAAATGTACCTAGCCTCCCAACAATTAAAAATGAAATTACTCTAAACTTGCAATATTTCAATATCTTGCCAAATTTCAGAGACTTTTTAGAAGATCTCACCTCAGAATACTAACATTTCTATGGCTAGGTTTTATATCAGCAGTGGGATCTGCAGGAGGCCAACATCTGCAGGTGGAGCAAGGTATCCAGGCCACACCCTTCTGTACATGTGTCAATGTTGCACACATGAATAAAAGAGGCAGAGCTTGGACTGTGACGCTGCACCCCCTCCCACAGATGCCCATGCAAACCAGAATTCATTCATGCAATCTCCTTGTTCTCTAAACCAAGTAACAAAAAGTGCTTGAAAATAGCACCTAAGAAATAGGCTGCAGTAAATTTATGAAAATTTCCAATATAATGACCACTACAGATATAATTAAGAAAGTGGATACATATTTTCATAAATTCTGCACATATTACTATAGCTATTTATCTGTCTATAAGAATGAATATTCAGAGATCTTAATTGTAATGTATATTTTTACTATAATTTAAATAGAAGTACATTACACAACAGCATAAAAGGTTGTATTATCATTCATTCATTCATTCATTCATTCATTCATTCACTCATTCATTGAATTTCTATGCTGCCAAATCTTTTCAGAATGATTTAGGTCTGCTATTCTGCTGCCTGTGGTGCAGTAAGGACTTATGGGGCTTATTGTTCCCACAGGATTCTTCAATCTATGTGTCTTCTTCAGGCTAAACTTCCTTGAATGCCCAACTGATCTTGCATAATCAGAGGGACATTTCAAGAAGCACTAACGCTTCTTCATTGGTGTCTCCACAAAGAAGAAGATAAGATTTCAGCTACTCATTATGCTTAAGTCAGAAAGACTCACTAAGCTACATTGGAGCAATTTGTTTTGAAGATGCAAAGTGAAGCAGTAGTTTACTTACTGGATCACAGCAGCCATTTCACTTTGGCTGAATGTTTTCTCTGCACACATGTCACCTAGGCACAGAAGCCACTTGTCTCAAAGCAAAGTGGTTGTCTGACTCAACTCTTAGTGCACCACCTCCAACATTTTCCTTCGAGCACTAAAATAGATCAACAATGGGCTCTTTTGCAGAGGCCAGTTAACAAAATAAGACAGCCTACCCATGCAATATCCCGCAGAATTCTTAGATTACTTTTAGAGAAATATGAATGCTACTAGAATAGGTGTGTAGATGGCATTGTACTGCAACACCTAAATGTGCTCCATGAGGATCAGTAATGGACATCCTTTACATTCCTACTCTAAACTGATCCCAGACCAAGGTGTCATGCACACATTCCTCTCCAAAGGTATAACACTGATAACCTTCACTCTCTCCTATCTTGTATTTATTTCTTTAAATAGGCTAAAGAAGCATGGGAAAAGTAGCAATTAAAACCTGTCATTCCCAACCTATACTTATGATAGCTGGAGAAATGTAACAGGTTGGTTGCCACATTTCATTAAGAGAGACAATTCTGTCATGTTTATTTCCTGAGCAAATGTGTGTAACTATTACAGGAGAAAAAATAGGCTGTATAATTCATTATTATAAGCCTGGCTGAATTGAGCTCCTGGTAGCTGAAGGTCAAGCTGAGCCCAGGGACAGGAGAGGAGGAACAATAAACAGTTGCAGCAAAAGCTTCTGCATTTCTATGAGATGGAAGGAGCTTTGCTGGCTCATTATTTTGTGGGACATATGTCAGTAAGGACCACTGGGACTTCTTTGCCAACCACTTCTCAAACCAAGGACCTGCTTGTACCTAACCTCAGTGATGGATTCAAGAAAACACTGATCCAATGTAACTTGGAAGACCCCCCTGGCAATTATCTTGAACCAGATGCATGACCAGATGTGTACCGCTACCTGAACTTTTCCCAAATAAATAGAAAGCACAAAGGCCCCTACTCAGCATCCAATTTTATTACTGCTTATTAAATTGGATTGGCAGTGTGAGACGAAGTGAGAAGACAAGAGGGTTTACTCGGGGAGTATGCAAAGGACTGCCAAGGCAGGAAATATGACATCCCCAAATGCTACTTCAGCTCTTGACAATGGAGGAGCTCCTTTGATTTATTTGACCTGATCAATTATGTCTGGAAGGTGCATATCAGAAGCATGAACACTGGTGGCTCAGGTTGATCAGGGGACTGCTATTGCATTCCAGGTTACACAAAAGGGGCCTCCCTTTTCCTTTCTCTTCTCTCTCAAACATCTTGGCTCAAACCATGCCAAACAAATAGCAAAAGGCACTGGAATTGCACACTACTTCTTTTCCTCCTTCCTCTTCTTGCATGCCACAGAACATTCCTACTTATGTTAATTTGAGGGAAGATATCATTTATCTTTCTTCAGAACCAGCAAACTTTGTTCTTTTTTCATAAAGCAACCCAAAATCATTAATCGGCTGTTTCAGTCAAAACTGCAACCTGAGATGCGCCTCAAACCAAGAATTGTGAGGATAAGGGATACTTGGCCAAATAGGTAGAGTATGTGCTCCCATAGTGTGATTGTGCTATTTTGTTGAAGCATGATCGTTCTGTGGTTATCACCTTCTTTTATCTGTTCTACTGTATTGGCTTAAGTTTTTAACTTGTACACCACCAAGAATTGTTGTGAGATGGAGAGAGAGAGAGAGAATTCCAACCTTAAGATCCCAGCCCTACTGACTGGAGCAGGTGAGGGAAAACTGTGAGTGATTCTAAGGAGTTTCTTCAAAACTCCTGCAGTGATGTTATCTAGTAGGGTGAAGAAACATCTGCAACCCCCAAAACAAGCTTGGCAAACTCCAAGAATGCAACATGATTACTTGTCCTTGTTGACACTTCTTTGCCCCTCCCCCCCACTAGGGAAAAACCTGAAAATGGTACCCATGTTTTCCATAATGATAAATTTGCCCTGAAAATAAATGCTTGAGGCAGAGAACAGAATGCTTGATTTTACTTCTTGTTTTGATAAAAGCTGTACCCCACATTTTCACTGTTTTTTAACAATCCCGAAATGGAAGGAAGCCTAGAGTAAATAAAGCTGACATCCAGAATAAGGCCAGAAGCTTGTGTGTGTGAAGGGAGTAGTCCTGGTGGGTGAGTTTTCTTGAAAGAGTGCTACTTACATCAGATGTTGGATGCTCTAGGAAAGCCTGTAATGACTCACACATAGCATAAACAACACAATCTCTCCTGACCTTCTGGAGCACTGAGGTTTTTTAATACAGCCACTCCCTTGAGCATTGGTGTCATGGTAAAAGAAAGTTATTAATTACCAGTCATGTTTACAGCATTGGATGGTTTACACAGACCCTGCCCCCAAATGTGATGGCAACAGAAGAAGCTGATGTGCCAAATCCTTGGCTTTACCCAAGTTGAATTCTTGTCCCGGTCCTGGAACTTTGGCAGAGGCTGATACAACCGTGAGTCTCACACCTTGATTTAACTAGAATAACTATGACTTTGATATGATTTTTACTGTAAAACATTTGGAATGGTCCTTATATTTACCTGTAAAGCCTCACCATTCAATACATTATAGTCTGACAGCATAATTCATAATTGTTCTTTATTAACACGGCACACTAAAGGAAATTGCCCACATTCAGGCAATACAGAAACTCGCAGGTTTAAAATGAGCAACTTGACCCAGAAAGTGCTAATATTCCAACAAAATTATTTGGGCTTACAGCTTAAGAGGTACATTTTAGCTTTTGATTACAATTCCTTTCTAAATCACATAATATTTTAAGTTAAATGCTGCTTTTCCCATCAGAATTTACATATTAGGAAATACATTTTCTAGCCCTCTATAAGATCATTTATTCTCAATGCTGTTTGGTGTGTGTGTGTGTGTGTGTGTGTGTGTGTGTGTGTGTGTATCAAGCAATTAAGTATGATGATTATGCCAACTGCAGAATTTATGAAGGTGGATTTAATTCTGAACTGCTTCCCAGCTTGCCTCCGTGTTTAAAAATAAGCGGTCCGTCACTTGTTCTCACACCATCTCCGTTTTAAGTGCTTGTCTATCATTTATATCTATGAAATAAACAAACATACCATGTTTGCAACATTTACAAAATGAAGGCTGTTAAAAAGCAGCTGAGAAAGGATCTATTATCACCAAATGTTATGTAAATGAATTACATTTTCCAAGAAACAGAAGAAAAAGGAACAAGTACAGAGAAAGAGGGGGAAAAGCAATTCAAGCTGTTGTTGCTCAGGAAGCTTTAAAAATCATCAAGGCAAATAAGTAACGAAGTAAAACAAAAATGCACTTACCAAATCCTCAACATAATCTGCTGTCCAAGTCAGACTGTCCTTTTAACAGGCTAAACAAACGTGAACTGTAATGGATAGTTAACACAGAATCCCTACAGGCCCAATTATCTCTGTTTCTATTCTACTTTTTTAAAAGATTGGACCAGTTTTTTTTTTAATTGGGCTTTAGCCCTTCCTTCATGTACAGTGAACAAATCTCCCTGAATGACAAAAAAATAAAAAATAAAAAAAACGCCACTTACTCTTGAGTTACCATGATTTAGTTCCTTTGCTTCCTCTCTTCTGATAAAAAATGTTGCTGAGGACTATGACCCATGAATATGCATAATGGTATGTGGGAATGACCTTGGGAGACAGAAGGAAGAGCCGCAAAGTAGGCAATGGTCAGATAAGAGGCAGCTGAGTCTGCAGAAGGAATGGGGATGTGGTAAACATCTCAGAAGGGATGTTCCCT